TGCACATTCCTGTCCAGTGTGCACATCACTACTGCATAACGGTGGCCTGAGCAGGATCTGGCATGCTGAGTCCAGGTGTGCCGTCAGCCACAGTCACTTGGGAGCAGAGCAGAGAGTAAATTAAACCCTGTGTGTGCCCGGATGGTGACTTGCTGCTGTGAGGATTTACTATCTGCTGCTAGAGAGACTGAGCCCTTTAGGAACTGACCATACAGCCATCTAGTAGCCCTATTGCTGCCTGCAGGCTTGATGGTATTATTTGTATGTGCACCAACGATATAGTTAGGCCCCAACACTAGGCTGAACACTGTCCCTACTGCTACACAAAGACCTTTACTTATTGCTTATGCTAACAGGTACCTTTCAGGGCACATTGCACCATATACTAGCCATTTTCCTATAGGGCACTATTGTTATTCACATTGCTGTTAATGCTTATATGCAATGTTTTATTGTTGACTTTGCTGATACATAAAGTTAATTCCAGTCTAATTCCAGACTGTATCTGAACCTATCCACACATGTATTCTTGTAAGTGATTGCAGTAACTTCACTCAACCAGGTGTATCAGAGAGGCTGAGGTGTTTCTTGTAGTCAAGGCGCAGGAGAGAGGACCCAAATTGCCAAGCGACTCCTTCAGGGGTAGTGTTAAATACATATTTTTTTTACCTGCACATATAAAAATATGTTTTACTTTTCTTTTATTATTGATGTGATCTCAGTTGCACCTTCAACGTCCTGTCTATGTGTGATGTGTTGGGTCTATGGATGTAATCCTATCAGAGGGGTGTTGTGTCTATGGGCTCCAGTGAAATCCAACTCTGGTCACAATCCAGTTTTTGGCTACTCATTTTATTATACATCACTATCTGACAAAGCATATATGCAGATAATAAGCAGGAAGATTGAAGATTACATTGAAGTGGACGATGGCATATCCACTAGTAAATGATAACCACATTTTATTGAAGATCCTTAATAACAGTAACGTATTAGTTGCCTGGGAAGAGCCTATGCTGCTGCTGTTTTTTTCTATTTATCGATTGTCTTTAAATAATGTCTGCTTTTTGATTTACCTTGAGTGCCAACTTTGATGGGGATTCCAATGTTATCCTTTAATTACAGTGCCTGTTCTGTGAAGCCCTCAGAGGTTTGTTAGAGAACATTAGTGAACAAACAGCATCATGAAGGTCAAGGAACACACTAGACAGGTCAGGGATGAAGTTGTGAAGTTTAAAGCAGGGTTAGGTTATAAAAAAATATCCCAAGCTTTGAACATCTCATGGAGCACTGTTCAATCCATCATCTGAAAAGGGAAAGAGTATGGCATTATTCAGAGCATTAATCAGAGAAGCAGCCAAGAGGCCCATGGTAACTCTGGAGAAGCTGCAGAGATCCACAGCTCAGGTGAGAGAATCTGTCCACAGGACAACTATTAGTTGTGCACTCCACAAGTCTGGCTTGTGGCTTCACAGCCGGGTGTCCCACTGCGCATGCGCTAGAAGTGCTGCGCTTTGTGAATGGCCCCGTAGTCTTCTGGGACCTGTCACGTGTCCCACAGGACTACGGGGAGGGAGGATAACTCCGCGGAAGTAGGAGTGGGTACTTGTCAAATTTGGGTACCCCCCGCCTCCCCAAAGGTCTGCACTCTCTGGTCATCTCCTGTACTGTGTCCGCAGCCTCTGGTCAACTCCTGTAGTATGTCTGCAGTCTCTGGTCATCTCCTGTACTCTCCGCAGTCTCTGGTCATCTCCTTTACTGTGCTTGCAGTCTCTGGCCATCTCCTGTAGTATGTCCGCAGTCTCTGGTTATCTCCTGTACTGTGTCCGCAGTCTCTGGTCATCTCCTGTACTGTGTCCGCAGTCTCTGATCATCTCCTGTACTATGTCTGCAGTCTCTGATCATCTCCTGTACTATGTCTGCAGTCCATTGGTTCAGAATTTTTTTTTTCTTGTTTTCCTCCTGTAAAATCTAGGTGCATCTTATGGAGCAACAAATACGGTATACATTACATTACAGGTGGAAAAAGTTCTGAAATGATTTATCTTTGTCTCATTTTTTTACATTACAGAAACCTGACATTTTAACAGGGGGTGTGTAGACTTTTTATATCCACTGTACACTATATTGAAAAAGTACTGGGACACTGCTCCAAATCATTGGATTCAGGTGTTCCAATCCCCTCCATGGCCACAGGTGTATACAATCAAGCACCTAGGCATACAGACTGCTTCTACAAACATTTGTGAAAGAATGGGTCGCTCTCAGGAGCTCAGTGAATTCAAGCGTGGTACTGTGATAGGTTGCCACCTGTGCAATACATCCATCCGTGACATTTCCTGGCTACTAAATATTTCAACTGTTAATAGTATTATAACAAAGTGGAAGCAACGGGATCAACAACAACAACTCAGCCACCAAGTGGTAGGCCACATAAAACTCCAGAGCGGGGTCAGCGCATGCTGAAGTACACAGTGCGCAGAAGTCACCAACTGTCTGCAGAGTTAATAGCTAAAGACCTCTAAACTTCATGTGGTCTTCAGATTAGCACAACAGTGCATAGAGAGCTTCATGGAATGGGTTTCCATGGCCGAGCAGCTGCATCCAAGCCTTACATCACCAAGTGCAATGCAAAGCGTCACATGCAGTGGTGTAAAGCTTACCGCCACTGGACTTTAGAGCAGGGAAGACGTGTTCTCTGGAGTAACCAATCACGCTTCTCTGCCTGGCAATCAGATGGACATGTCTGGGTTTGGCAGTTGCGAAAGAGAATTGTACTTATGTGACTGCATTGTGCTGAGTGTAAAGTTTGGTGGAAGAAGGATTATGGTGTGGGGCTGTATTTCAGGAGTTGGGTTTGGCCCCTTAGTTCCAGTGAAGGGAACTCTTAAGGCATCAGCATACATAGACATTTTGGACAATTTCATGCTCCCTACTTTGTGGGAAAAGTTTGGGAATTGCCCCTTTTTGTTCTAACATGACTGCGCACCAGTGCACGAAGCAAGGTCCATAAAGACATGGATGAGTGAGTTTGGGGTGGAGGAACTTGACTGGCCTGCACAGGGTCCTGACCTCAACCGGATAGAACATCTGTGGGATGAATTAGAGTGGAGACTGTGAGCCAGGCCTTCTCATTGAACATCAGTGCCTGACCTCACAAATGCGCTTCTGGAAGAATGGTCAAACATTCCCATAGACACCCTCCTAAACCTTGTGGACAGCCTTCCCAGAAGAGTTGAAGCTGTTATAGCTGTAAAGGGCGGGGCCAACTCAATATTGAACCCTACGGACTAAGACTGGGATGCCTTTAAAGTTCCTGTGCGTGGAAAGGCAGGCGTCTCAATACTCTTGGCAATATAGTGTATATAAATATCCCCATGTTTAATATATATATATATATATATATATATATATATATACATACATACTGCTCATATAAATTAAAGGAACACTTTTTAATCAGAGTATAAAATTCAAGGCAATATATATTTGCTTATTTCCTATGATCGTCAGCTCCATCTAGTGACTATAATGCAGTTATTGCCTGAAGTAGGTATTTTGTGTCCACACACGCCTGAGCTTATAACAATGGATTTATAAATCAGTACTGTTTAACCATATTTGTCTGACCTCTGTAAAGATGGTCAAACATCAAAACTACCAAAACATTATAACATTTTTGAGGAATAATTACATAACCTCTATTATCAGCTGTATAAAGGGCCTAGAGAGCAGGTGGTGAATAAGCAGCAGTACACTAATCTTCCCAGTGAATGGCTGTGCAGGGCAGTTGTGCCAGCACAAATCTTGACCTTTGGGAGGACATGCAGGCTATGCTCCTAGTAGAGCCAGAAAACAGACCACACTGGGATGGATGTGCTCTCATGTCTAGTGTTGTCAGTTTAAAATAGGAAAGCAGGGGGACTGGCAGGATCACCAGGTATTTCACACAAAGGAAGACATACAAAGAGAACAGGATACTTTTAACCAAGCACAAGCACATGGTACAACAGGAATATGAATTATTGGTGTAAATGATTTATATGAAATTTTGCAACTTATAAGTAGTGGATACATTTATGGTACTGATTTATTTGCAGAACTATTACCTCATATTATATAGTTTTAGTAAATCTAAAATTGACTGCATAAAATGGTAACATGTACTTTGAGCTTTAAGGCAATTTTTTTTTGGTGATGAAATCAAGGAAAAAAGACTACACTGCGGATTTAAAGAGCTAATAACATCTATAAAAAATTAAGATTATGGTGCCTGAGTTCAGCTCTATATGACATCTGTTCAGGGTGAGCCTAGGGTGTTTGTATGACTTTGGATCATCAGATTGGAAGGCTCAATAGAACAGCAACTATTGTGAAGTGTTCAGTGTACCTGAAAGTTAATCCTGTACACACGGGCCAAAATATCAGCCGGTATTGGCCGGTTCAACAGAAACTGGCCAACATTCGGTCCATGTGTACAGCAGCCTGTCAGACAGAAGCCAGCCTAACTCAGGCTTCTGTAGAACGGGCATGCTAGAAAAAGATCTGATGATAGGCATCTGATCAGCACTCGCAGCCAATGGCTTTGAACGCTGACTGGTGTGATCTGACACGGGTACAGTTCCCCTGTCAAAACACAATAAGTCAGCTGGGAGATCATTCGCAGGCTCCTCAGTTTTTTTCACTCAGTTTTGGAAAACTAAAAGTAGATATGAAGTTGGGGTTACTTACTTGATTGGTGAGTCAGACAGGAACAACAGGAGCTTTAGGGGATGGTTACAGGTAGGTGTTCAGTTGGAAGATAGTTGTCGTTGGGAAACCTTCCCACTCTAGGACCCCTCTAAAGTTTATTTGATGGTTATTGTTAGAGATGAGCGAATTATTCAAAAATTTGATTCGGCTGATTCGGCAAATTCGCGGAATAAATTCGATTCGAGTCGAATATATTCGCTGCGAATTTAACTTACTTAAAAAGGGTGTTTCTAGGCTTCAGAGAGCCTTTATATTAGTGCAGAACACTGTACCTTTAATTTAAATGCCCTTGGAGTCTGCTGGGGAAGAGAAATAATACTGTCAGTCAGTATGACATGCAGATGAGTGCCGTCGATCTTAGAATCACCGCACACTTCACTCATTTGGGCAGTCACGGGGCCAAAACCAGAGTGTGGAGCCACAGTGTGGCAGTGGAGGCAGCAGCAATGGGAGGCCATACAGCACCCTATGAAAAAATGGAACCCACCAGCAGTGTGAGGAGACCTGAAAGTGGCACATGGCAGAGTGTGGCGATGGAGACAGCAGCAATGGGAGGCCGTACAGGGACCCATGACACACTCTGGACCTGGCAGCAGCATGAGGAGGTGGTACAGGGGCCCATGACAGATTACGGGCCTGGCAGCAGCATGAGGAGTCGGTACGGGGGCCCATGGCAGATTACGGGCCTGGCAGCAGCAATGGGAGGCCGTACAGGGACCCATGACACACTCTGGACCTGGCAGCAGCATGAGATGAGGAGGCGGTACAGGGGCCTATGACAGATTACGGGCCTGGCAGCAGCATGAGGAGTCGGTACGGGGGCCCATGGCAGATTACGGGCCTGGCAGCAGCAATGGGAGGCCCGTAATCTGCCAGCACCCTATGACAAAATGGAACCCACCAGCAGTGTGAGGAGACCTGAAAGTGGCACATGGCAGAGTGTGGCGATGGAGACAGCAGCAATGGGAGGCCGTACAGGGACCCATGACACACTGGACCTGGACCTGGCAGCAGCATGAGGAGGCGGTACAGGGGCCCATGACAGATTACGGGCCTGGCAGCAGCATGAGGAGTCGGTACGGGGGCCCATGGCAGATTACGGGCCTGGCAGCAGCAATGGGAGGCCGTACAGGAACCCATGACACACTCTGAACCTGGCAGCAGTATGAGGAGGCGGTACAGGGCCAATGACAGATTACGGGCCTGGCAGCAGCATGAGGAGTCGGTACGGGGGCCCATGGCAGATTACGGGCCGGCAGCAGCAATGGGAGGCCGTACAGGGACCCATGACACACTCTGGACCTGGCAGCAGCATGAGGAGGCGGTACAGGGGCCCATGACAGATTACGGGCCTGGCAGCAGCATGAGGAGTCGGTACGGGGGCCCATGACAGATTATGGGCCTGGCAGCAGCAATGGGAGGCCCGTAATCTGCCAGCACCCTATGACAAAATGGAACCCACCAGCAGTGTGAGGAGACCTGAAAGTGGCACATGGCAGAGTGTGGCGATGGAGACAGCAGCAATGGGAGGCCGTACAGGGACCCAGGACACACTCTGGACCTGGCAGCAGCATGAGGAGGCGGTACAGGGGCCCATGACAGATTACGGGCCTGGCAGCAGCAATGGGAGGCCCGTAATCTGCCAGCACCCTATGACAAAATGGAACCCACCAGCTGCAGTGTGAGGAGACCTGAAAGTGGCACATGGCAGAGTGTGGCGATGGAGACAGCAGCAATGGGAGGCCGTACAGGGACCCATGACACACTCTGGACCTTGGGCAGCAGCATGAGGAGGCGGAGGAGGCGGTACAGGGGCCCATGACAGATTACGGGCCTGGCAGCAGCAATGGGAGGCCCGTAATCTGCCAGCACCCTATGACAAAATGGAACCCACCAGCAGTGTGAGGAGACCTGAAAGTGGCACATGGCAGAGTGTGGCGATGGAGACAGCAGCAATGGGAGGCCGTACAGGGACCCATGACACACTCTGGACCTGGCAGCAGCATGCAGGAGGCGGTACAGGGGCCATGACAGATTACGGGCCTGGCAGCAGCATGAGGAGTCGGTACGGGGGCCCATGGCAGATTACGGGCCTGGCAGCAGCAATGGGAGGCCGTAATCTGCCAGCACCCTATGACAAAATGGAACCCACCAGCAGTGTGAGGAGACCTGAAAGTGGCACATGGCAGAGTGTGGCATGGAGACAGCAGCAATGGGTGGCCGTACAGGGACCCATGACACACTCTGGACCTGGCAGCAGCATGAGGAGGCCGTACAGGGGCCCATGACAGATTACGGGCCTGGCAGCAGCATGAGGAGTCGGTACGGGGGCCCATGGCAGATTACGGGCCTGGCAGCAGCAATGGGAGGCCGTAACAGGGACCCATGACACACCCTGGCAGCACAAAATGGAATGACAGAACCAGCAGTGTGTGAGGAGACCTGAAAGTGGCACATGGCAGAGTGTGGCGATGGAGACAGCAGCAATGGGAGGCCGTACAGGGACCCATGACACACTCTGGACCTGGCAGCAGCATGAGGAGGCGGTACAGGGGCCCATGACAGATTACGGGCCTGGCAGCAGCATGAGGAGTCGGTACGGGGGCCCATGGCAGATTACGGGCCTGGCAGCAGCAATGGGAGGCCGTACAGCACCCTATGACAAAATGGAACACCAGCAGTGTGAGGAGACCTGAAAGTGGCACATGGCAGAGTGTGGCGATGGAGACAGCAGCAATGGGAGGCCGTACAGGGACCCATGACACACTCTGGACCTGGCAGCAGCATGAGGAGGCGGTACAGGGGCCCATGACAGATTACGGGCCTGGCAGCAGCAATACGGGCCTGGCCCGCAATCTGCCGTACAGGGACCCATGACACAAATGGAACCCAGCAGCATGTGAGGAGGACCTGAAAGTGGCACATGGCAGAGTGGGCCATGGAGACAGCAGCAATTAGGCCGTACAGGGACCCATGACACACTCTGGACCTGGCAGCAGCATGAGGAGGCGGTACGGGGGCCCATGGCAGATTACGGGCCTGGCAGCAGCAATGGGAGGCCCGTAATCTGCCAGCACCCTATGACAAAATGGAAACCCACCAGCAGTGTGAGGAGACCTGAAAGTGGCACATGGCAGAGTGTGGCGATGGAGACAGCAGCAATGGGAGGCCGTACAGGGACCCATGACACACTCTGGACCTGGCAGCAGCATGAGGAGGCGGGGTACAGGGGCCCATGACAGATTACGGGCCTGGCAGCAGCATGAGGAGCGGTACGGGGGCCCATGGCAGATTACGGGCCTGGCAGCAGCAATGGGGGCCCGTAATCTGCCAGCACCCTATGACAAAATGGAACCCACCAGCAGTGTGAGGAGACCTGAAAGTGGCACATGGCAGAGTGTGGCGATGGAGACAGCAGCAATGGGAGGCCGTACAGGGACCCATGACACACTCTGGACCTGGCAGCAGCATGAGGAGGCGGTACAGGGGCCCATGACAGATTACGGGCCTGGCAGCAGCAATGGGAGGCCCGTAATCTGCCAGCACCCTATGACAAAATGGAACCCACCAGCAGTGTGAGGAGACCTGAAAGTGGCACATGGCAGAGTGTGGCGATGGAGACAGCAGCAATGGGAGGCCGTACAGGGACCCATGACACACTCTGGACCTGGCAGCAGCATGAGGAGGCGGTACAGGGGCCCATGACAGATTACGGGCCTGGCAGCAGCATGAGGAGTCGGTACGGGGGCCCATGGCAGATTACGGGCCTGGCAGCAGCAATGGGAGGCCCGTAATCTGCCAGCACCCTATGACAAAATGGAACCCACCAGCAGTGTGAGGAGACCTGAAAGTGGCACATGGCAGAGTGTGGCGATGGAGACAGCAGCAATGGGAGGCCGTACAGGGACCCATGACACACTCTGGACCTGGCAGCAGCATGAGGAGGCGGTACAGGGGCCCATGACAGATTACGGGCCTGGCAGCAGCATGAGGAGTCGGTACGGGGGCCCATGGCAGATTACGGGCCTGGCAGATGACGACGAGGCTGCCAAGTGCGATCAGCCTCATCATCATCATCAATTAGGGTCTCCGCCTCACTACTAGCCCCCTCGGCTGCGTGTGGGTCAGGAGACAGACCTGTCTCTAGACCGGCTACCGAGCCACTCTCCTCGCCAGTACTTCTTCGCCTGGCTGCTGAAGAGAGGTGGATGTCTCCCCCCATTCCTGACCGCCCTCTGTTAGCTCTTCCTCACTGTACAGTGGGGCTGAGCCCACAGCATGCGATACTTCGCTTGGTGAGGGAACACCAAAGGACAGGGGCAGGTAGAGGACACGTGATTTCAGTGGGCTTGCTCCCGGGCCATGCCAACTAACGGTTGTGTCTGACGTACCCACCGACCGTTGGCTGTAGGTGTCAGAGGTGACCTGGGAAGAGGAAGACGACCGAGCCAACCAATCGATGACGGCAGGGTTGTCGGTGGAGACACGACCGCTGGATGACACCGGGAGCACTGGCCTCTGGCTGCGACTAGTGTGCCTCGACCCCTTCCTCTGCTGCCACGTGTCTGCTCGCTCCTGAAACATTGCCTCCTCTGCGTGTTGTCTGACATACTCTTAAATTCAACGATTCTGTGTCCCTGAGTAACGATTCTGTGTCCCTGAGTAACGATTCTGTGTCCCTGAGTAACGATTCTGTGTCCCTCAGTAACGATTCTGTGTCCCTCAGTAACGATTCTGTGTCCCTCAGTAACGATTCTGTGTCCCTCAGTAACGATTTCTGTGTCCTGAGTAACGATTCTGTGTCCCTGAGTAACGATTCTGTGTCCCTGAGTAACGATTCTGTGTCCCTGAGTAACGATTCTGTGTCCCTCAGTAACGATTCTGTGTCCCTGAGTGTAACAATCTGTGTGTCCCTGAAGTAACGATCTTCTGCGTGTCTGGTCTCCAGAGTGAGTAACAATTCTGTGTCCATCAGTAAAAATTTGTGTCCTGAGTAAGATTTGTTTTCCCTTAGTAAAAATTCTTTTGTCCCTGGGTAACAAATTTTGTGTCCTAAATAAAATTCTGTTCTGTCCCTGGGGTAACAATTCTGTGTCCCCTGGGAACAAAATTTTGTGTCCCTGAGTAAAAATTCCCGTGTCCCCAGTAAACAAATTTTGTGTCCCCCAGTAAAAATTCTGTGTTTCCCTGAGTAACACTTCTGTGGCCCTGAGTAAAAATTTGTGTCTGTCCCTGAGTTTAAAAATTTTTGTGTCCCTGAGTAAAAAAAATTGTGTCCCTAAATAAAATTCTGGGGTCCTGGAGTTTAAAAATTTGGGGTCCCTGGGGTAACAATTTCTGTTTTCTGTCCCCGAGTAAAAAATTTTTGTGTCCCCAGTAACAAATTTTGTGTCCCTGGATAACAAATTTTGTGTCCCTAGTAACCCATTCTGTGTCCCAGTAAAAAATTCTGTGTCCCCGAGTAAAATTTGTGGTCCCTGAGTAACGGGTTTGGTGTCCCCGAATACCAATTTTGTTTTCCCTTTAGTAACAAATTTTGTGTCCCTAAAATAACAAATTTTGTGTTCCCCCAGTAAAAGATTCCCGTGTCCCTAGTAACAATTCTGGGTCCCTGTTTAAAAATTTTTGTGTC